AGCCTGTCCTATAGGGGAGGTGCTGCAGCCCCCTGCTCATCTTGGTGGCTCTCCTCTGGACCCCCTCCAACTGCCCCCCGTCTTTTTTTTGGCCTGGGGGCTCCAGCCCTGGACGCTGCACTGCAGATGTGGGCTCAGGAGAGCAGAGCAGAGGGGGACCATCACCTCCTGTCCCTGCTGGCCGCCCCTCTGCCCATGGATAAAGATAACTTCCCTCCTGCTCTGCCCTGGTAAAGCCTCATCTGGAGTATTGTGGCCAGGTCTGGGCTCCCCAGTATGAAATAGGCAGGGATTCCTTGGGCAGAGCCCAGCTGAGGGCCACAAGGATGGTGGAGGGCCTGGAGCATCTCCCCTATGGAGAAAGGCTGAGTGAGCTGGGGCTGCTGAGCCTTGGGAAAAGAAGGCTGAGAGGGGACCCGACCCCGGTCTGTAAATATGGAGGTGTGGGGGGCAGTGAGGCTGCACTGATTTCAGCAGAGTTTGGAGAGACAGGACGAGGGGCAACGGCCAGAAAGTGCAGCATAGGAAGTTCTGCACAAAGCTGAGGTGATGGAGCACTCTGCAGGCACCAAACCCTTCCCAAGAGTTGGTTCCCCTCCTGAACTCCTTGATTCTGTGCTGCTTCCCTCCGAGTTCGGGTCAGCCCAGAACGGAGCTTCCGAAGTGAAAAACGATTGGGCCCCCCAGCATCACGCAGGAGATTTTGGGGTTGTAAAAACCCTCCGAAATGCTCGGGGTGGCTTTCAGGAGAGAGGCAACACCCGGATGTGGGTGATGGAAACGTGCTGTGAGGTGTCACCAGAAATTAAAGAGCAGGAGACACACAGGGGGCTCAGGAGAGCAGAGCAGAGGGGGACCATCACCTCCTCTCCCTGCTGGCCGCCCCTCTGCCCATGGATAAAGATAACTTCCCTTCTGCTCTGCCCTGGTAAAGCCTCATCTGGAGTATTGTGGCCAGGTCTGGGCTCCCCAGTATGAAATAGGCAGGGATCTGTTGGGCAGAGCCCAGCTGAGGGCCACAGGGATGGTGGAGGGCCTGGAGCATCTCCCCTATGGAGAAAGGCTGAGTGAGCTGGGGCTGCTGAGCCTTGGGAAAAGAAGGCTGAGAGGAGACCCGACCCCAGTCTGTAAATATGGAGGTGTGGGGGGCACCACGCAGGAGATTTTGGGGTTGTAAAAACCCTCCAAAATGCTCGGGGTGGCTTTCAGGAGAGAGGCAACACCTGGATGTGGGTGATGGAAACGTGCTGCACTGCAAGGCGTCACCGATCCAGACATAAAAGAGGAGGAGACCCCCGGGGGGGGGGGGCTGAGGGGGTCCCCATTGAGCCCTGCTGACAGCACCCACCTTCTCAACATCAGGCAGGCAGTCGAGTAATGCGACGGCATCACCCGGGGGGGTCCGGGGGGGTCGTTTGGCCATAGCCTCCAACACAACGTGGTACAGCGTGGGGGTGATGAGAGGCGTGGGCAGCTCCCGCAAGTAATCCTTTAGGATCCCTATGGGGGAGAGAAACCCTACGGGGGGTAAGGGGGACGTCGAGAGGGGGGTTGGGGCGGCCGGGGTGGGGGGAGCACCGACCCGTGATGACGTTGATGTCGGGATAGAGGTGTTCCGACAGCCTGACGGCGGCGCTGTCCGTCTCGAAGGCGTCGCGCAGCTCCTTTTTGACGGCGGCCGAACCGCAGAGGCGATAGAGCCCGACAACCTGCGATCGGGAGCATCACCGATGGAGCTGATAAAGGAAAGCGGCTGAGCAAACGCCCGGCTGGGCATCAAAGCCAGCTCACCTTTAAGCCGCGTTTCTCGATCTCGGCTACGCATTTTTGGATGAGCAGAGGAACTTTGGTGGCTGTTTTTTCTCTTTCTACCAGCTGGCCCAGCTCCACGCCGAAAACGCGAGGCTGGCGCTCGCCCGCTCCTTCCCACTGCTCCACCAAAGTGAATTTGGAGAAGAGGACGCCCCGGGGTTGCAGCTGCACAGCCAGCTGCTGGGCTCTGCTGCCTGCGGGGAGAAGAGCAGAAAGTCACGTCACCAAGCATCCAAACCTCTTCCAGCAGAAGCCAGCGGCAGAGGGGCGGCCGGCGGGGACAGGAGGTGATGGTCCCCCTCTGCTCTGCTCTCCTGAGCCCCCTGTGGGTCTCCTCCTCTTTTATTTCTGGTGACACCTCACAGCACGTTTCCATCACCCACATCCAGGTGTTGCCTCTCTCCTGAAAGCCACCCCGAGCATTTCGGAGGGTTTTTACAACCCCAAAATCTCCTGCGTGGTGCCCCCCACACCTCCATATTTACAGACCGGGGTTGGGTCCCCTCTCAGCCTTCTTTTCCCAAGGCTCAGCAGCCCCAGCTCACTCAGCCTTTCTCCATAGGGGAGATGCTCCAGGCCCTCCACCATCCTTGTGGCCCTCAGCTGGGCTCTGCCCAAGAAATCCCTGCCTATTTCATACTGGGGAGCCCAGACCTGGCCACAATACTCCAGATGAGGCTTTACCAGGGCAGAGCAGGAGGGAAGTTATCTTTATCCATGGGCAGAGGGGCGGCCAGCAGGGACAGGAGGTGATGGTCCCCCTCTGCT